ATCCAACCTTTGCATTCAACAGGATGTGAATGTCATCATTCCAGTTAGTCATGCTGTTCAGCACTCTCTCCTCTCAGTATTGGAAGATGGAAATCACATAGTGACCACCTGTCATATTTATGTATTATTACATATAGTTTAGAAAATCATTGTATCCACTTTGAATGTGAGCACTCCAGTCTGTCCAAAATTTATGTCATCTTAATCTGTTTTTATGCCCAGGCCTATTAAAAAATTATCTTTAATATGTCCATGTTGCTGTATTAATATGATAAAGATATAGGCCAAATACAGGGAGATATCTCACAGGAAAAATATTTTTTTATTTAGATTTTGTATTTCCCTTTCTAGTTTTTACCAGCCATAGAGAAATATGAAAATCATGTATTCTACCTCTTTTCCAGGAAACTGCTTCAACTAAGCCCTCTAGTGTTAAGACAATTATTTTAATTGCATTTCAGATTATGTTTGAGACATTCAATGTGCCAGCCATGTATGTAGCCATTCAAGCCGTTCTGTCCCTCTATGCCTCTGGGCGTACCACAGGTAAGCCTCAGGGGAGCATGGCATAGATGTCTGAAATAGTTCTGTGGCTATGATGGGAGTGAACCATGTGTTACCTTCTCAAAGGGATCGTGCTTGACTCTGGGGATGGTGTCACCCACAACGTACCCATCTATGAAGGCTATGCCCTGCCACATGCCATCATGCGTCTGGACCTGGCCGGCCGGGACCTGACAGACTACCTCATGAAAATCCTGACGGAGCGTGGATACTCCTTCGTCACCACTGGTAAGGACACACTGCTGGCTGGAAAGGAGGGTTGTTCATGTCCAGTGTTTCTACTGGCCTCAGAAGGACTATCAGGGGTTCTGCAGTTGAATAGGCATGAGAAGGTCTCCAACGTGAAAGTCTCTTGAAAGACTAGCAGATGATTTGTTTAAAATATGGGGAGGGTGTTGGAAGATGAAAGAGATGAAAAGGATGAACGGGAAGATGAAAGTCAACATGTCTGGGTCCTTCCTGAATGCCATGCTAAAGTCTGAATCTTCTTTACAGCGGAGCGTGAAATTGTCCGTGACATCAAGGAAAAGCTCTGTTACGTGGCCCTGGACTTTGAAAATGAGATGGCCACTGCTGCATCTTCTTCCTCTCTGGAAAAAAGCTATGAGCTTCCTGATGGTCAGGTGATCACCATCGGAAATGAACGCTTCCGGTGCCCAGAGACCCTCTTCCAGCCATCTTTCATTGGTAGGTTCAGTGACTCTTCTGTCTTGGCAAACTGCACAGAAATACCAAGTCCCTATTTCCTTTTGCTTGTGCTCCATTGCTAACTCACCCAGACCTATACACCAGTGTGTCCTAGCACCTATTATAAAACAATCTTTTAGAACAGGGCTATTTATGTGGTAGGAAGAACTTAATGCTAAACAATTAGCCAAAATGCTTTCCCCAAATAAACCCACAATGTTTATTCCTGCCTTCTGGCATTGGGCCTGCGCCATTTTGTATATTTGAATGTGCTTGCCAGGAGTGGGAAGAAGTGGGAGGGGCAGGCAGGCAGCAAGACCTACTTTTGTTTTTCCAAAAGACTGCTCCAAATCCTGAATCCATGGTTCATTGCCTTTTCGGAGCAAAGCCAAGACGATGCCACGCTAATCAACATCCATGAAGGCAGATTTGCAACTAGGTCACACAATGTCAGTTCTGCCAGTAGGCAGAATTTCAACTCAGAGATAAAGTAGTTGCATACCTAGAGGTATTAGGACATATTTTGACTAATCTGTCTCTGAGTTGACTTAATTTGAAAAGGGGAAAAAAAAAAAAAGAAAACAAATTATTTCAAGACCATATAAGGAATTCTTAGGACAATTGAGATTGCCTGCAAAAGCCTAGTGGAAACTTTACTATTCCATACTCCCATCTTTCTTTTTAAGGAAGAGTTGTTGTGCGTAAGGGGGAGAGAGGGCTGTACACCAAGAAACCCTTAAGCAAATAATTCAGGCAACTGAAGAATGACTTTCCAGATTTCCAAAGCTCTGAGACTGATGTCTTCCAAAGAGTCACTAAACAGCATGTCAGTTCTGCATTAACAATTTTAAGTCTCTATACAGAGTTGCTTCCTCAGTGTTCTTCTGTACCTTCCCCAGGCATGGAGTCTGCTGGCATTCATGAAACCACTTACAACAGCATCATGAAATGTGACATAGACATCAGAAAGGATCTCTATGCCAACAATGTGCTGTCTGGAGGCACCACAATGTACCCGGGTATTGCAGACAGAATGCAGAAGGAAATAACTGCTCTGGCTCCTAGCACCATGAAGATCAAGGTATGTATAGAGCAATCAATTGTAGACTACATGAGCTGGCATTTACAAAGTCCTCAAAGATCTAGTGAAACATGCAACACTTTACAAAGTAAGTGCTTTTAACATATTTTTAGTCACATCTGGATTATCTAGCAAATAATCACCAACTGGTGGCTTTGGTGCTGGAACAAGAGAGCCTTCTCTCATCTCGTTGTTCATCTTGATTTCTGTCAAATGTCCTAATGTGGCCAAAGAACAGCATGAACCCAGAAGCATAAGTTTTCCTCTGAGGCTGTATGTGAGTTTCTTCAGCCCTTCTAGTCTGATGGACATGAGAGAAAGGGAATGCTGTTTTTGTCTTTGGCTTATAAGTTTGAAAAAAAGAGACCCAGACAAACTAATCTACATTCTGCTGCTTCAAATCCTCTGTTCTTTGCTTTACAAACATTTTATCAGCTATACCAAAAGGAGTACTCCATAGGTCACTGATTTTTTTCAAGCCCACCTGGACTGTCATTTTGTGTTTCCAGAGCAATTATCTCCCCTTTCCTCATATGTGCCCAGGAGTACACGAAGGCACAAGGGATAGGGGTCACGGAGGAGGCTGAGTCAGGCAGAGCATTTGAGGGTATAGATTTATACAGCAAATTTTAAACTTTTCTGCTTGCAGCAATGGATAGCGCTACCACAGAGTTGTAGTGTTTTTTTGTTTTTTTTTTTTTTAATATCGCATACCCCTGCTTTAGTATTTTTCTATAAAAATTTATTTTATTCAACTCAGTTGTACTTAATGCTTTTATTTCTTAAACAGATCATTGCTCCTCCTGAACGCAAGTACTCAGTCTGGATTGGAGGCTCTATTCTTGCTTCCCTCTCTACTTTCCAGCAGATGTGGATCAGCAAACAGGAATATGACGAAGCTGGCCCATCCATTGTTCACCGCAAATGCTTTTAAATTGCTTTTTCTTTATATGTCTCCTTAGTGTGAATGTATTCAGGGAAATGCATTCTTATAATTTCATTCCATAAATCCTTCATCGTAATTAATCTAATTAATTGGATACTGTGTATTTCTTAAAATAAATTTTAAATATGCTATGAAATTGCTGCTCCTATTTAAAACAAAAACAAAAGCCAAGCCGTGTGTGTGTGGAGATGCCATTACAGCTGGCTTGAAGCTCCATCTTGTGACATGAATTTATTATTACACTGTACTGGGATTAACAGAAATGGTGGTAACCTTTAGCTTGATGATACCAGTGCCGGAAGTTGCTCACCTGTCAGGCTGCATATTCTCAAAGTTTAGCCTCAGAAAACATTTTAATCTGCACACAGAACCAGTCATGGTTCTTACAAAGTTTTAGGCAGTACCAAAGGAGCACGGCATCTGTTCAATATCAGGAAGAGCATGGGCACTCTGCTTTGCATCTGCTCTATCCAGAAATATTATCTATCCACATCACTTCTTACTTCACAGCTGTCATGCTGGAGAAGCTAATTTCTTACAGTGCATGGCCCAGGGGTGTATGATATGTACCACAATTCTGTATTTTCTTTAAAGAAATAAAACTTGTTCCTTTGGGAGCATATCTAAACACTAATAGTAGGTCAAACATATGATTTTCCTATTGTATGCCCTCGGGACGAGTGCAGCCTATTATTTTTATTTTGTGATTTCTAGCAAGATCTAAAGGGTAATTAAGCTGGCTTAATATACTTTCTCTTCAGAACTTTTTTTAAGGGGGGGTAATGCGTTCAAAGTAGCTGAAATAATTTTTTCTGTGATTTTTCTGTTCCATTTATAATCTTAAACAGATCAGCTAGAAGTATATGCATAGAAGCTGAAGCCAGTAATACCATCTTAGAAGTATATATATAAAAAGAATTCATTGAGACAGACCTGGAAAAGGTCACTTCTAAGGAACTTGCTGCAATCTGTATTCATTAGAGCTCAGGATAAAGGATGCTATTTATTTTCATTAACCTATTTTCCTCTCTCAATTCAATAGTTTACCTCACTTGTCTATTACTTGTTATCTTTCAAACTGTAAGCTCTTTGCAACAGCACCTGTTATTTACCATGTCTTCATAACCCCGGGGTTCCAGATCTTGTCCAGCTTCTGACTGTTAGCACATGTTGCAACCCTCTTTGTACTAACCTTATTATTTAAAGTATAGGTCATCTAGGTTCTTGGAACAGTTACTAAATAAACTCTTGTAAAAGCAAATAACTTTGTATGGTTCTTCCTTCTAACTCTGTCTAGATCTTTTTGTCTAACTCTAGATAGATCCAGGGAATCCTTTTCAGGATAAGAAGTGTTTTTCAATTTAAAGTCTCTACTGGCAGGTTGATGGAGAAGACACATTTTGCCAAGGGACTCTGATGCATCCCTGCTATCCCAAAATGGTGAGGACCAGATCTCAGGTAAAGGATTTGGGTATTTCTAAGTATTTTCTGCTTAATAGCTGAAACTTGAGCTGTAGAAGTTGGACTGGAGAAAAGGACGAAAAAACCACATAAACTGATGGATTTGCCTCTACTACATTTAACTTAAATTTACTGAAGCTGTAAGAGATGTACATAGCTGGAAGTTGCAAAAGCCAACCACTGTTAAAAATATCTAATTCTCAGAAGGCAATTAATGTGAACGAGTGACAAAACAAGCATTACCTATTTCAACACAGTTACTGCAGTTTGAAGTTCATTTTATTGTTGTGTTTTATGGGTGAGATTTGTTTACAGATTCAGGGTTAATGCCACTGAACTCCATCTTGACAGAGCAACAAAATAACTCCAAAACAGGCTAGAACAATAAATATCAAACCATTCAATCTAAAATGTATAAATATAAAAGTAATTTCTGAAAATGTAGGAAAAGACAGGAATCCATTTTTCTCTTTTGGCCTTTTGTAGAGTAACATTGATGTGGTTCATTGGTATCACCTCAGATCCAGCACAATTATCTTTATGTCTTTCCCAACCACATGGGTACATGGCTGCAGAAGAAGACAACCCATTACTCTCAGAAATCTCAGTAAAATACCCAGTAACTTCATTCATTAACTACTTCTGTAAAAAAAACACTGAAAAGAGCCTACCTGGAACAAAAAAATCTTAATTTTTTTCAGAGCTGGACTGCCTTCTCATTATCTCTACACTCAATGATGAAAAAAGAGAACAAAACAAAGAACTCTGACCTCTGTCTTTTGAGGACTAATGCTGACATTCAGAGAGCCTGACAACACAGCAATTTCCAATGTCTCTCAGCATGACTTGTCTGGATTGGATAATTTTATTTTAAGCTATAGGAGATGCTTCTGTATTGGAAGTAAACCCCATTAAAAAACCCAAACCCCTAATTATTCAAAGGTAAAGACTCTCATCAGAGATGTCAGTGTTAGCAGGAAGACAGTTCTGACTGACTGTCCTGCTCAGCCATACACCATTTTGCTACTAAAACATCAAAAGATACAGCAGTTACTGAGAAATGCTCAGAGAAGCCAGGGCAAACTTTTGGCAATGAAGGAAATAGGGCTCAACCTACTTATAGCTGCATTTTTAAGCAGCTGGGATGTTTTGTTGGGACACTAAAATTGGAGAGATGAACTGATTCATTGCTTAAAAACTGAAGAGCATAAGAGTAACTCCCATTTAAAAATGTGGGTTTTGCTCCTTCTGAAAGCAGTTAAAAGTGGTGACTGATAGCAACTACATCTGGTTAACCATCATTCGAATGGCAGCTTGTAACACTCACCTCATGGCTTAAGTAGTCTCCTGATATCTATCTACCTTGGTCAGTGAATTAAGGTAATGAATTTGCAAAACGGGGAAAATTATCAAGAAATCTGATCTCAAGAGTTTGAATAGTAAAAACTGTGTTGAATGATATACTTACATTAAATAACCTAGGGTCCTTTGTATGTGGATGGAATCCCTTCTTTTTACAAGCAGAAACTTCTAGCATGCCTGCATTAGTCAGTCTGAAGATGCCAGTGCTGAAAAGCAGAACATGAAACTCCTGTTACACACTATGCAGTACATATCCAGGCTTCACATACAAATTGCTTAGCTTAAAAGGACAACAGAAAGGTGCTTGGTGACCTACAATACACAGGAGCCCCAGGTGAGTTGGATTTTTAGGGATATTTTAAATCAAGGGGAGTTGTATTCCTGGAAAGGAAGAGATGATGAGGGGAAGAGGAGAAAAAGGATCACGGTACTGGTACTGTTCCTGTTAGGCAGGTTAGGCCACTGAGGGGTAAGGCTGGTTGACACAGGAACAGATGCAAACCAGAAACTTACGTGCTCTGGATTGCATTTCACCCAGGGCAACTGAAAAGGGAACAGCCTTTAAACCAACTGTGTGAATGACTACTGGGAGTACATCCTCCCCGCTCTTGTAGGTAATCATGTAACACAAAACATTAGAAAATGCACTGCTGCAACTCTTTAGTATTGAATAAAATGTTACAAAGCCATCCTTCTGTAAAGAAGATTGATACCTATTAACTACAGGGCAGCACCTGACAACATAAATGTTACAGGTTAGACTTGGTTATAGGGTATCAGCATCAACTACCAGAGAGGTTTGTAAGAGCAGGAATTTGGAAAGACATGCAGGCATGCTCAGGGTTAGAAAGCCCAGTGCTTGTGCCCTGCCTCTCAGTCTGTGTTCACAGCTCTGCCACCTGAAGGGCCCATTTAGGAAGTTAGGCAACCAGGGCAGGAGTCACATCTACTGAGGCAGAAGGCCAGAAGGAAAGGCTGAAGAAATGCACACTCCAAACAACGGAGCTAGCCCTAGCACCCTGAGATGCCAGGCACACCAAAGGAGAATTACAAATTCCTTGAAGTTGGAAGGAGCTTCTGAAGATTGTCTAATCCAGTGCCCCTGTTCTGGCAGAACTACCTTGAGCACGTTACCAGGACCATGTCCAGTCACGTTTTGCATATCTCCAAGAAAGTAGACTTCATGACATCTCTGGGTAACCTGTTCCATTACAAACCTTCACATTAATGTTTGCACTATTCTGTTTTTTTCCAGACACATAGTTTGTAATTTATGAAATACAAAAATAGATCCTTATTTTCAAAAATGTGATGTTTACCCTTCTGCTTTGCAAATTGCAATTTTCATATCATTCTAGAGAAATAATCCTAACCTCCCACCACATCCTTAAGCAGACAGAATGAAGATAAATCTGCGGTAGGGCATTGGCCATGAGTACTCCAGAAGAATAACTCCTGTAATTATTATTTTGTTGAGCTGGATATCTAAAAATAGTAAAATTTAAAACCTGGGTCTGTGAAGGGAGGAGAGAGAAGCCAGAAACAATACTGTACATAGAGGCTGACTGAAATGCAAGTCTAGGCAACTTTCAGAAAACAAAGTCATCATGGTCACAATGTTCATGCCCTTCATCTGAGTTGATATGTACCCTTTGCATTTGATCAAATTTTATGACAAGAAGCAGGGAAAAATACCGAAATATTACTTAAAAAATCACAACTTACTCATTATGCTTTGGTGAACAAACAATTGCAATGGCCTCAGGCAACATTAGCTGATAAGAACAATGAGTATGAAGATCAACACTGGATAAGAATGCAGTTTGTGTTGGATGTGTCTACAAAAAAGAAAGGGAAAACTCAGCATCGTGAAATATTTCATGCAGATCAAGGTCAACATACATTCAAGAAGGAAAATAATTTTTTACAAGTGAAAGCATCAGTACTTCCCTGGGCTGGTTTCTAAAGTTCTTATTATCCCAGATTCTATATTGCTTTATATTGTTCAGCCTGGAGAAAAGAAGGCTTTTCAGGATGAGATTTATGGACGCATGCTCACAATCAGATATACACGCAATTTTCTGATCATAGGGAGGCAAAGGGTAGAATGAAGAAGCACAAGACAAATGGAAATTACTTAATTGTCCAAAATCTCTAAGAGAAAAATTAATACAAAGTTTAAAAACACAGTACTCCCTTCCCTGACTTCTGAATATGGCATTAGAAAGTAATATAATACCCCAAAATCAACATTAAAAAAATTTGCACCAGCAAAAGCAGGCCCATTGCGTCAACAGAATGCCTCAATCACATTAAGGAGTTCTCTGTGGAGGATGTGAGTGTTTATTTACATCACTACAACTTGAATTAAGTAAGCAAATTTGTATTACTCCTGTTGTTTCTTTTTGTTTATTTTTTTCCCCCCCACATAGTATGTAGAGCCAATATAGGAAAACCAGGATCTATGATTCATACATACATGGATCCAACCCAAAGTGAGGAGATCATACTGATCCTGAATACCAAATAATTCTTCCACATTCTCCATGTCACAGTAGTCTGGTCCCGCAGTTTGCTTTGGCACTATTACATGTGTAATAGTAAATTCATTATGAGTCTGCAAAACGAACATTGACTTAGGGTGGAACAGATTAACTAAGGAATAAATACCAAATCAAAAGCTGAAAGATGTCAGCCTGTCAGCTAAAACAAAACAGTACAGCTCCATTGATTCCAGCTCAACCGACTCCAGTGCGGCCCTACCAACATACTGTACCTAAAAATATACCTTAGCATTTTATCATGAAAACATACACAGTCATATTAGTCAAAAACAAGATTGTTGCATTGAAATGTTCTCAGAGATCAGTGTGAAAAGATTGTCCTTTAAAGTAATTAAAAACACATAAAAGAGCTTTGAGAAAACTATCATGATTTTCTGTGAAACTTGGAACAAGGTTGTTATTCTTTCTCTTCAGGCAATTCAAATACACTTGGGATCATCTTTTAAATTCTTTCTGTCAGCATCAGCCACGACATCTTTCCCTGCTCTCAAAGGACATTAAGTGTTATGTAGGTCAAAGGAAAAAAATACAGACTGAAAATCAGATGTTCTACAGCTTGATGGGAGGATTTCTGTTTTGTTGGACCATTATTAATTTGATGACTCCAGTGGATTCTGGCAGTCTTTATATTTCATTGTCCTATAACTAAACCTCACTTACTTTAGATGAATGCCAGAGAAAGTACTGGAAAAAGCCTGTATTGTCCAGCATGCTGAAAAAACTGCTAGGCTTTATAACAATAGCAGTGTACTTAGAGCAGACGTTTCCCCAATAAAGCAAGACCACAGTGCTGAAGTGCCCACTCAGGTTATAATATGAAATTCATTACATGGAAGGCTAACCATTTATATTTGCTTTTGCTCTGAAATCAATACATCACAGGCTAATACAGCACTATCAAGTATGTCTTCCCCATACAAATGTGAGGGTTAAACTGTACCAGTTTTCCACAGAGAATTCCACATGTCTCTATTCCTCTTACTGTATTTGCCTCTGCCAGCAGCAGAAATTTGTGACAGAGATCCCTGGGCAAAATGACACCTCTGAGTGCTTCGGCCAGTTGAGCTAACCAAGAATACATTAAAAAAAAAAAAAAAAAAAAAAAAAGAGAGAGAGAGAGAGAGAGAGATAAAAAGGTATTTACAGCTATCACAGCTAACACAATGAAGATTCCTGAAATAAGGTAATATACAAGTATCTTATACTATATTACTACAAGTGGAAAATTATACTTATCACATCATAGACTTCTAATGAGAATAAATCAACAGCACAAGCACTTCATCTAAATTGAAGTCACCAGCCCACAAGATACGTTCATTAGCCTGTCCCTGAGGGGACAGTGAGCTGGGACCATCTCCTAGGCCAGGGCTTTCCAGGGAAAACCGCTGCAGGTTCTGTTTCTGTTCCCTTGAAGTCCATGGCAAGATTCAGATTTCATTTCACAAGAACTGTAAATCTCAATCTCTATATCCATCCATTGGTATTCAACTGGAAAATGCGAAACTGTGCAACTGTCCCTCTTAAAATGAAGAAACTATAAGGAGCTGCTGTGTTTGCACAAACATTTTCATGGTTATTTCAGTATGGACATCCTCACAGCAAATAAAGACATATGCAGGGAGATAAAATAAAATGAAATAAAATAGGGGAAAACAGAAAAGTCTGCACTTACTCTGAACAGCACTTAGAGTAGCTGCTGGCTTTAAGACTCGTTCTACTGGCGGCGAAAGTCCAGCACAGCCAGAGGTGCTGCTCCTCTCTTTTTTCTCCAGCAGCACTGCAGATAAGGAACTGTTCTCTGGCACAGAAATACAAGACAGCATACTTCCATCTATCTGTTCAGACATAACCACACTCTCTTTGATTCTCTGATCTCGAGCTAGTTCTTGCTTCTTGAGCTGATCCTCAAAGAATTGAAACTGTTCCGATTCAAGCTGCTGCTGCCGCATATGTGCGATTCGTTTCTTCTCTGCCTCTATTAGCTTTTGGTGCTCTAATTTCTTCAGAAATTCAGTTTTACATTTGTTCTGAAACATACACAACATAGTGACATTCTCAGAACACCAAAAATGCTACCAAAAAATGGTAGGAAAGGAGCAATCTAACAGTTCAATAAAACCATACAATCCTGTCATTAAAAATGAACTCTTTTGTAACCTGTTTACTGAACTGGAAAATACAACTGTATCCCCAAAGGTAGGATGGAAAACATAGCATTGGTAGAGGGAACAAAAATATTTCTCAGATGATTTTTCTAAGACAAGTTTTTAAGCCATAGATCCTGTTTTTAATGACTTCAATCTCAATTCAAACTGGAGCACATTTGGAGCCAAGGAATTTTTTACACTTAATGACATAAGAATAATTTTCATTTTCTTTATAACAGAGAATCAGAGCATACCAAAAACCTATTTGGATCTTTGTAGAGTTATTAAGTAAATATGGCAGCACATGTATTTCCTAGCACACATTTGCATTACTTATTTTTAAATGGCCAGCTCATTCTAAAGAAGAAATGAAAAGTCATTCCTAAGCAGCACAGGAAATTATTAGGTTCTCATAAAACTGGCATTTTACAGCTTAATTTTTAAGTTTTATATGACAGAAAAATATTTCTGTCAACATTTAATAATCATATAAAACTTACTTTGTGTTGCATGTATTCTTGATATTCTAAGTTGTATTTTTTTAAAAGATCTCTTTTCAGTTCATCTGTCCGTGGAAATGCAACCTCCTTCAATTTCTTTGAGGTGAGAGGGAGGAAAAAGATAGGTAAGTTTACTTTTCACTTTTAAAAAGAGCCACTTGGAAAACAAATTCAGCTGTAACACATATTTTTAAAAAATACAAAACAGAAAAACAACCTGCTCTTCTCACAGGAAAATAAAAGCAAAAGAGGAAATACACAATAAATCATCAGTTTATGAAATTTTTATAGTACACTGGTTTCAATAAAGATACATTGATCTAAATTAGTGAAAGGTGTGACATGGCTACTTGTTATCTCAAGCAAAGATTAGTCCTTTTACTATGACTCTTATCTCTGTCTTGTTTAATACGTGTCTGATGACTAATGTTTTGGTTGTAGGTGTAATTTGTAAAAAAATGCTAAGGCAAACTTGGAGAGTTTCAGGTAGGATAATTGTATTTTTCTCTGGCACTTCCCAGTTAGAAATATGTTGGAATATGCTCATTTCCAAGTGGGGAAAAAAGAAATTTTTTTAAAGAGATAGTTATACCTGTAGCTTTCTGTCACAGACCTGGCAAAACAACATTACTTATGAAGCAAAACCAATACCCAATGCTTTCTAGTCATGTGAAAGCTACTAGAAAAGAATTCAGATGCTGTAAGCAAGGGAGGAAAAGAGACGATGTGCTTAAACCTACTGAGTGCCATAGGAGAAAGCAATGTTACATGCCCTCTGTCAGCCTACATTGTGAACCAAAGCCAGAACTTTGGCATGAAGTGTTTTGGTTTTGAGTAAAACATTCAGTTTAACAGTAGAGAAAGCAAGCAAATATGGGGACATGGGGCAAGAGACACTCATGGTCCTACTAGCAATTCTCACTGGGAAATTCCAGCTGTTTTAAATTCAGTATAAGGCTATACCTAAAATTTATTTAGGATTTATTTTCTAGAGGGGGAAAAAACAAAAGTAAAACTATTTTGTATAGAAGAGGAGAGAAAAAAATCTGGTAAAAACTAAGTAAATACATATTTGGTAATAAATAAAGAAAAAAATATAGTTTACTTATTTAGCAGTGTAAGCAGATATTGCACAGGCATCAGTAATGCCACACATTTCTCCTTCTGTTTGTAACAGTCAGTTTGGACCATTGTCCGTTCACATAATTGAGACCAGAATCAAACTAAGTACTCTTAACATGTGCATTTTTAATATGCAAACTTTCAGAAATAGTTGAGCTCTCCCAACAACCTACCAACTTACTCAGAGACCATTCTCATTCACATTTTAGATTAATAATATAATTTCCAAAATAAAACATGTATGACTAGTGGAGAAAAGTATTAGAAATTGAAGTTGTGATGGCTGCTATGGGGTATGGGTGCTCTGTGGGAAAAGAAGCTATGGTCTATATGTACTAGGAAAAATGAAGAGGTTCTGAGCAAAATATTTCATAAGACCAGGAAACCATAACCCTACCTTAATAATATCTTGTTTTTCTGGTACTGCACATTGGTGATAGTCTCGGTGATTGGGCAACTTTTCTACAAACAACCTAGAAAATTAAACATGCATGAGTTTGCCTTAGTAATCAGAGGAATATCCATAATAGCTTTCATGTTGGCAGTAAAATCAGTTTCACATAACTGTTAAACACACAATTCCAGATGACTTGGACCAGGTTTCTATACACATGTTTAAACTAACATATTATGGTATGGACCTGTATGGGACACACAGAATAAAGACAAGAGATTATTTACCACATCCAATATATTTTGGTTTCCATTAGTACTGGGTTAGGTTAAAAAAAGGGCTAACTAGCAGCCAGCATCTAAAAATATCCCTCAAAAACACCCTCCACTCTAGTCAGTGTTAATAAATCCTGTTTCTACTGTCTTTATCTGTTCTTAGCCAAAATGCTCACTCTTCAGTGGAAGACAAGAATGCAGCACTGACTCTCATTAAAGCAGGTATTTTTACCAGACCAAGCTGCACAGCTAACTGCAGAATTATTAATCTACCCAACATATAAATTATGGCAACACTCAGCAGCAAAGAGTTTGCAAAGCACAGCTGCTATCATTCTTTCAGCAATTTGCACAATATTCACCTCCAGCCCCTCATTTTATAGAGATAGATACATTTAAAGAACAGGTGGGCTAAGAAAGGTTTGGTCTAGTTTTCAGAGTATGACAAAAATCAGGAGGGAGGAAGGATGTCCCCTTTATAGAAATTTTAAAATATGCACATTAAAAAAACCCCTTCAGAAGTAATAAAACAAACCAATCAATCCTACAGCAAAGCTAGCTAGGTTAAAAGTTTAAATCTGCCAGTGATATATTTTTCAGCTGTCTATTTTGAGAGTTGTAATGAAAACTGGCCAGATTTGTTCTTTTGTGGTGAGGAGAATAATCATACAATGAACATACATTGTAGATTTTGCATTTATTCCTGTAAGAAACAATAAATTATACTTAATCCTTTTGAGGGAAAATGGAAGTAAAAAGGAAGCAAGAAAACATTTTTCCCATGCTTTTTAAGTGTTGTGCAATACTACCATCCTTAAGATCAGCAGATGCTCATAGGACATAACTACTAAAGGCTCAGAAATCTTATTTAAACATCGATTTTAAAGTAAAAAAATATATTTAACCAACATGCTAACTTATAAAGAATAATCTGAGGGAACAGTGCTCATGGTATGGCCTGGCAAAGTAAACTCAAACCTTTATATGTTAGGTTAATTCATGCCTGGCAGTTCACACATGGATAGGACAACCATATGAAAAGGTGAGAGGAAGTTTTAACAAAGCCTATGCTCAGTGTAAAATATCTCCAGAGAACAAAGCTGTTCTGCAAGAACACATTGAACAAGCTTCTCCTTATCTAAATGGGTTCTCAGTGCAGCTTTCCATTTCAGTTTACTCAGAATTGTAAGCTGTAATGGCTACAAGTGGTTTCTTACGTTATGAACTTATTATAAAACACAAAGGCGTTCTCCAGGTTTCCCTCCTCCATGTACACCGACGCCATTCGCTCCATCTCCACTCCAGATCTGAAGTAGCGCCGTGGAGTGATGTCCTCATTGATTGTGATATTGCTGCCAAGCTTGCTTAAGGCACGTACTCTCTCCTCTGGGCTCACAGAGATGTCTGTGTGGTCAGGAATAGCTACGAGCTTTCTCTGAAAAAGAACAGTCTGATTAGCAAAGAGAATATTCCGTTTCGCTTTCAGTAAGTGGTGTCAGTCAAGAAGCTCAAGGGAAATCTTCAGCTATTTTTTTCTGAAAATAGGCATTGGTTTCCCACCTCTAGCTACAGTTGAAACATTCCAACATATTTCTCAACTGCAAGTAAATTGTGATCAAAAAGAAAAGTGATCTTGTTCTCTTTGAAAACAGCAACAAAAAAAGATAAAAATAGGAAAATATCTGTAGGGAAAAAAAGAAGTAAATTGCTGTAGAGATTACTATAAGCAATATAAAGCGTGCCTCTTTACAAGCCCCCACATATGAATTCTACAAGGTTCTTTCTTAAGTTACCAAAATAATTTGATGGATGTCCTGAATACTCAGACTCCTATTACATGATGTATAGCATTTGACTAGAAATAGTACAGGAAACAAAGAGCAATAAGCTCCTCTGGTAAGTCAGAAGTTCATTTCAAATCTTCATTTCCAGTTTTAAATGAGGCAGTTAAATACTAAGAAATTAGAACTTATTACTGAAGAAGAACCATAGCTGCTTATTATGGTCATTACCTTCCAGCTAATAAATAAATAAATAAATAAATAAATAAATAAATAAATAAATAAATGGCTACTGCAAATTGTTCCCTCTTACTTTAGGTTTTTTCTCTTTCTAGTCAAAATGCTTATTTCAACTTCTTAAAAACCTGGTTGTTGAGACCCCATAAATCACACATATAGAAAGAGAATAAATTCCAATAAAACCATCAGGCAGAATATGGGAGGAAGGTGGCAGCATGCAGGAAGAGACCCATGGAGTTCCGAGACACCACTGCTAAACAGCTCTCTTGAAATTTTTCCTAGTTGAAAGAGAAGTTGCTCAGCCACTGAAGCATTTCTTGGTAATACATACCAATGAGCTGACAGTGAATGGTTGTTCCATGTTGTTGTCTGCCTGCAAACTAAGGAGATTGCTCTTTTCCTCCAAAGTCTCCATCTGACTGAAAAGGGCAGTATCAATCCTGAGCTCAAGATTTGCCACCAGATGTCTCAGGGTTTAATAGCCCAAGGGAAAATGGAATATCGATATGTTGATTGTGGTCATGTGCTGGAAAAAATAAGTCATTCCGATTAGAAATATATTCAAATGTCAAATAACTTTGCATGCCAGCACTCACTTATTACCTAGGTGGTACAGTACTTCCACATTTAATAATAATTTAAAACTTAGCAGGTGTCTAGAATTTAAATTGGGAATGCATAAGGGCTTACCTAGTTGACCTGTACTAAGGTTATTTCAGCAGATTTGAACACAATGAATTATTTTTACAATATTTATAGCAACTTAAATCCCTCCAAACTTTCAAGTATTAAGTGATAAACACAGAAGTTTGAGGACTAATCACAGAATCTGTGCTTCCTTGAGCATATGTTTTGATACACGTATTTATAAGAAGTATGAACCTGGTATCTATATTTCCTGCTAAGCCTATAATGAGAAATAAAACTTTACACACAAATTTGTATCAGCAATATAAAGCAGAAAAATGCTTCAAACACCATGTGTTCCACCTGCACAGCTTGCTGATTTCAACACTCTGATGAGTCAACTGGTAAAAATTCTTCCTTGCACAGCTTTGAACAAGTAAAGAAGAAAATTTAGATATTGTGGTCATTAAAAAAAAAAAAAAAAAGAGAGAGAGAAAAAAAACCAAAACCAAGAAAAGGAAACTAAACCCAAACCAGAGAACCTAGCTCTGAGAGAGGAATGAAATACTTAAACTGCACAGGAAATGTGAAAATTAAGTTTCTAATGTGTTTTTTCACTTTGCTGTGCTCAATCAAAACAGATTAGACCCTGCATGTTGAAGGCTCTTTATATGTTGCAATATAAACATGCTTATGCTTTTATAAAAGCATAGAGTGGGTTCAGCAAAGATGTTTTATCAGCACACCTGTCTCTAGAGGCCAGATGACTCTGGGTTAAACAATCCTAATGTGTTTTTAGATAGCTATATTTCTCAAGTATTGATTTTTGTGTATGTGTCTTCCTCATTTTTTCCAAAAAGCAGCACTGTCTATTAGATCAGTCCTTACTTTTAACTATTAGTGCAATTCAATTTCAAGAATTTTTGCTAATTAAGGTATTCAAACTGCTGGAACAATTTGTAACCAAAAAAATGAGCAAGGCTTATACATCTGAGAAAACAATGTTAGTTGTGGTTGCAGTGCTAATAAAAACAGTTCTCTAAACATTTAATTTAAGTACACAGAGCTCTGGTGTAAATGATCAGCTTGGCAGGAGAGCCTATTCATTCCCTATTCACAAACTGTAGAAAGGCCCCATGGGACAATGATATTGAAATATTTTTGCTTTAGCCTACTCCAAGAAATATTCTGCTTTATGGCTTGTTCCACCTGAAACCCTTCTTCACTGAAGCACTGTAGATCTGGAAGCTGTGAAAGGAGAGAGCTAAAAGCTTGACCAGTGCAGAGTCTGTGTCAGACTTTTGGCCCTGCAGCCCAGATTCTAATCAGAAATAAAATCTTCAGTGAGAGACTCTGCATTCACATGCTTTGTGGAACTCAGGAACAAAAACCAAAAAACAAACCAAACAAACACACAAACAAAAAAGGACCTAAAAAGCATATATTTTAAAAATATTTATCCATTCACTTATCCATCACTTGTGAATTTTTTATTTTCTTTCCCCTAGAAGCATCTGGGTCAGCTAAAATACTTGAATGAAAGAATGGATTTGGTCTAAAGTATTGTTGCATCCAACTGCAACATGTTCTAGTCACTCGTGTATATTAAAAAAAAAAGTTTAAAAGTAAAGGTGCAGAAATGTATTTCTCTCCAATTTCTTATTTAATTTAGTAGCTTCTGGCAAGAAAGCTTTTCTGTAGCAGTTTTTAATTCTGCTTTTCATAGCTTTCTCCCTTAACAGTTCTTCTGCAAGGCCTAGAGAGGAAATGGACATTTAGGACAAAGCTCGTGAGATGCTTCCCACTGAAGACATGGAATATGGATCAAATGCTTCTTACAATTGTTACCACTCCTTGGAGACCTTTTCATCTAGCTGGTAGGCAGATGCAAAAAAGTTAGTGCAGCAAGTGGCAAACACAAGAGCCACTAATTATGGGTTTGGTTTGTTTTTTGGGGGCCAGAACTCCCAAAGAAGTCCTTATTGAAGAAACCTATGGTATTCCCCAGTCAAAATCTCTTTGGAAATGCTACAGGAAGACATCATGGAACCCTTTACATTCAAATATTTCTCAACTTGACTGGCTCTATGAATATTAAAGAAATAAACATAATTCAGTGAACTTTTAACCCAAAGAAGCATCAGTTATAATATTTTTTTAAAGTGTAATAACAGGTATTTTAAAAAGGAGACATCTGGTAATAGCAGAAACTCACACTTCCTCAAAATTGTTTCAGAGCCTGGAAAGGATGAAGAAGCTCTGCAAAAAACGTAAGACATACCACAGTGAAAGAGCTTAGCAGAAGAATGCCTGTAAATAAAAGAAGAAACTGCCTTTTTAAATTTAGTTTCAGGAACACACTAAAAACGAGACACTGTAAATGAAGAAGAAATACTAAGATGAATTTGTGCCCCTTTTACAAAAATATCATATTGATTTAAATATATTCACTATTACAGGTGGCAGGGTAATTTAAGAAAAAAGAAAACCCATAAAGAATGTGGGCTGACTTATGACTGCACTCCAAGATATTCTCCTTAACACGTGGACATGCTGGCAGAATTATGAATAATTAAAATGCAGAGAGTTAAGCTTTACTAAAAACACCACCAGAAGCAGGTCTGCCAGCTGCCTGGAATGCCTCTGTGCATAATGTTCCTTGTGGCTCAGCTTCACAGTCACCTTCAGCTGGTCAAAGGGCACAACACTGCCAAGGGGCTCCCCTCACCCTCCCCATCCTTCCTTGCATTCTCACTTTGCTGCCTCCCCTGACTTCAACAAGCTGTAGCTGATTCAAATTAAAATTAAATTGGCTTTTACTTCCTTCTCAAAATCAAAATGCAAAGGAGCAGGCAGAACCATGAAGCCAGCAAAGCAGAAAGATTTGTCACTTTCTGAGGCAGTGCTGTCCTAGATTGATAGGACCTGGCTTTGAAAGGGCACCTAAGAGTTTGTATAATGCCTACAAAAATTGCCCAGTTCTGGCAAGTGACTCTGTTTCCCAATAATAAACATATATGTCAGTTTACAAGAGTAAAGATAAATTCAAATACCAAATCTCTCTGTATAGCTGAAACTATTTATACTCAAACACACAAAACACTTATGCTAATACAGTGAACTACACTCCAACCTCACCCACAAGGGATAAATACCAATGCTAGCTTGAAGCTGTCTCAGTATATTATACTCTAAAATGCTCAAAATTCTAAGAGACATTTTTTTACTTTACTATTTCAGGTATTCCAGTTAACTTAGATGGACTTAGGTAATGTTTGTTTGAGGAGAAATGGTAGGACATTCAGCATTCAAATTAAGTTTTTTTCTAATTATGAGTTTTCTGATAATCATTACCAGAACATAATAATCTAACATCTATTCAGCGGTTAAGAAACTTTTCTTGACTTCATTGAGAATAGCACTTCTCACCAAATCCCATTTCCTCCTCAACAGGCTTTTGCTTTCCTATATGTCCCATATTATTATCATATGTATTAATCCTTGAAAAATCCAGATTTATTAACTCGAAGCCCTTCAGCCACAAGAAAAAGAGCAAACTGAGAAAATTAGTATTTTAAATGGCATTGAAAGTTATTCTTTCTGTGCAGGCTAACAAGTATGGTACTAAGTACCAGGGAAATGTAAAGAAGAGAGCAATTTTAAGTGAAAGTACATGCCAAGAGTAGTACATGAAGATAGAATAAGGATATCAAATACCTCAGGAGTAGGCTCATGAGACAGAGGTGGTGTGAGAAGATCTGGGGAACACATGCACCTACAAACCCTTCTGACATCTGCAATATTCACCACAAATTCTCCAAAGCCCTCACAGTTTGCTGCATGCTGGCATTTCAACGAGTTTCCAGGGACAAACAAGGCACGCTGGCTGTGCCCAGAGCCCTTCAGGCTGACTTTGTGTGTTACAGAAGCATGGTGTGATAGTGAGAGGTGACACACATGGCTGCACAGCGAGGCTTGTGGCAGCTCCAGTGCTGCTGGACTTCCACAGCTGGCGTTTGCAACACCTGCAGTGCAGTCAGGGCACAGCTCTGGTAAAGGGTGCATGTCTCCATGCCTTGCTGGGACAGACTGTGAAATGCCCTTCCCTGAGATCACCTGCCTCTGGGTTATAAACCTGTCCCAGCCAAGCCAGGGACACCCAGCAGGACCATGCTCTGCCCAAGGATGCACACAGAGACTCTCAGTGGGAGCTGTGCTGCTCCAGCGCTCCAAAGGGGACACAAAGAGAAGCTCAGGGTGTCAGGACTTCCCAGAAACTGACTGCAGAGAGCAAGCATTGAATTTCAACTCTGTGTCATCATCTGGAGGCTGCTTTTCCCTCTTCAGGTCTTCAGAAGAGGTTTTTAAAATGTCGAACGAGTTTTTTTGACTTTTAAACAAGTAATGGAGTAACTTCAATAAATATTCGTCAAATACATAGTTTTCACTTTGTAACATTAGTTTGAAACATTAGTTTCCTCTTTGTAACGCATTTTTAAATTTCAAGGGAATTAATAATAACATCAACTTCATTGCTGTCAGCTACATTTATCAATATTTTGACTATTGGTCTTACGAAAAAATCTTCATTAAAGAGATCACTGGCAAAATTTTCCAAAGATTAGGTTAAAAATAATCTACGCAATTATTTATTTTTAATAGCAGATTATTCAGAAATACTCATCCTTTTTTTTTTATATTTTTGTGGAATGTCAAGCCTCCATGAGGTTCCCACCAAAATCATTCACTTCACTCCATTGGGATCAGGATTCTTAAAGCATATCTAGAAATATTTGATAATATAGAAGCTAAAATGTGGTATAATTCCAGTTTTTGAAACTACATTTGTGAGAACTGTTCTGCAGCCATCCTATGGCAAGATGTGGTGGTTTGTATGAA